TTAACTACAGTTGCCATGTGGGATCTAGTTTCTCTTAAAGCAGTGCATGACTGCTATGCTGGGGAGCAAGCCCTGGTGTGCTTCTTATAAGCAGTAAGTGTTTATTAAGCAATCTGAAAGTTTCTTTTAGTTTATTAATTTAGTCTATTTAAACTTATTTATTAAATTTACTTTAATTAGGGATATTTTGTCAAATTTAAGATGTTGTGAATTATAAGATGCATCATTTTATGTATGTATATTAATCCTGTTAGATGCTTTAAAAATTCAGTCATCTTGTTTTTGAATTATTTTGTTTTTGTTTCTATAGGTTCTGCCTTATATCTAATACCTAGTACTGCCCATTAAACTATGACACAATACCTTAAAATTAGTCTTACATTTAAAACTCGTAGGACAATTATTGCTATCACACCTTATAATGAATGTTTTTTCATCAATATCAAATTTGTGCTCCACTGCTCTTTTTTTGGCTGGCTAAATGCTTTTTCTACACACACTGTAATTTTTCTGATAAATTCCAGATCACTTGTAAATGACAGTTAAACTTAATGCATGATATAATACTACCTTTAATGTACATGATTCAGTTGAATTAAAGACAGGTGGACTGGGTTTGGGCATGCAGAGGCAAGAACTGTTATATCATAAGAGCAATGTGGTCCACAGCAACTATAAGTTGTCATCAGTTATAAGATGGCTTGAGAGTTCAGAGATGGTGAAATATGGGAAAAAATGGTTAAAATTATTGACTCAGGTGTAAATTTACTGTATTTTGCATTTTTTTTTGTTTACTCTTTTTGAAGTTTCTTTTTTTGTTTTTGTTTTGAGAGAGAAATTTTTGCTGTAGGGCATGTGCTTTCACTAGAGAGACAGAAAGCGAGAAATCACCCCCACAGGATGTGGGGGGAGGGGAGCCACACCTCAGTCTTTTCTTTTCCATTTTCTTCTCAGCATTTTTGGGCACACACGCACATGTGCTTGGCGTGAGTTTCAAGCCTTCGGGTCATGGACTCTTAACTGTAGTCCACCATGTGGGATTCCAGCAACATAGCCATTATGCCATCTGCTGGTCCGTAAATTTATTTCTTAAGAGAGAGAGATACAGGTACCTTAACATTGTTCAGCCATGTTGCAATAACCTGCCACAGTTTTCCAGCCAGCCATAATCATGAGTGCACCCATGTGTTTAGGTCATCTCAGCATCTGAACCTGGAACCTTTCCATTACAGCTTCAGTATCATGTAGTGGTGCCCTATTTTCTGTGCCACAATGGCTTTTCTTACTCTGATTTTTCTCTTTAAAAAAAAAAAATTATATATAAACTTCTTAAAGAATTGTTAATTTTGTTTATCATTATTTTTTAAATTTGCTATAGGGCATGTGCATTCACTCAAGGGCAGGGTGGGGGGTGGGAGGGGAGAGAATGGATGAATGAGAAAGCAAGCTGCCAAGTTACCAAGTCCAGGACTCAAACTGCAGTTGGCCATGCGGTCAGTTCAGCACCTTAAGCATCATGCTACTTGCTGGTCCAGTCTTTTCTTTTTTTTAAGCCCTCTTTTTTTGTGCCATCTATTAACTTCTTTAGGTATTCTTTATCTTTTTTTTTCCTCTACTAATTTTAAAGTTATGAACTTTATTTCTGTTGTTTTAAAGATTACCATTACTATGTCAATGTACTCATTTGATTTAACAAAATGAAAGTTAATCAATCTCTACTTTTTTGAATAATACAAGGATATTACAACACCTAGACTCTGATCACTCTGTTCCTATGTTTTGTGTTTTCAGTCTACCTCATTCTAGATTGCAGTTGTACCTTTATGAATTAATATTTAATGAATATCTGATATCTCCACTAGACTGAAAAAATAGGTACCATTCTTGTTTTTCGTCATCATTTAATGTTACTTGCTAGAATGAGGCTTGGCTTATAGTAGAAAACATATACTTCATTAACTGATTGATTATTCTGTTATAAATAAACTTCCATAATAACTAGAACAATCTATTTTATATGTTCATATAAAACGTCTTTTTTTTTTTTTTTTTTTGTAATTTGCCAGATGGCATGAGTAGTGCTGGAGAGGGACAGGGAGAGAGAAAGTGAAAAACACCTCCCCCCATGGGGAATGGTCACAGTACAGTCCCTTCTCCTCCATCTCTCCTTTTGGGATTTTGGTATGCATGTAGATGTGCCTGGTGTGTTTTTCAAGCTACTGAGTCAGGGATTTGAACTACGCTGTCTGGCACCAGCTGGCCCGAAAACATCTATCTTTGATAGCTTTCTAATCTACCGATTTTAGATTTAGGCCCTCTAATACAATCTGACTTGGACATGTACAAAGGCTATTGTGTAGCCATCAAATGAAAAGTATTAGGAGTTTTAGTGTGTGACAACACATGATTATGTTTATGTGAAATATTGTGAAAGAAAGATTCAGATTATAACATAGTAGGGCTATACTGATTAAAATCAGCAAGAATTAGGGCCTTGGACTGATTGAATATTTTTTTCTCTAGTGGTAGCTTATTAAGTTGAAAGCCTATTTCTATTTTCCTTCTGTAGTTTTCAGTTTCTATTTTTTTTTTTGCAAAGACACTTGTACATCCATGTTTATTGTAGCAATATTCACAATTGCTAAGACATTGAACCAACCCTAAGTGCCCAAGAACTGGCACATATTCACTGATTCACTGTAGAATATTAACCATAAAAAAATACCAAAACTCATTCAATACAAAGTAGATTAATCTTAACTTAATGAATCTAATTTTTTAAAATCAATATTTGCTCTTTATTAATGATCTCTATTTAATTCCTGATGTTGGTACATAAATTTTTCACTTTGGGGTTTTGGGTACTAAATTCTGTAGCTCTAAATTTTAGTTATCAATTCTATAGTCTTTTTTTAATGCATTTTTACCTATATATACACATATATATAGTTTTATTTCTTTCTAAATTATACAAATTGTCATTTCTAGATTTATAGAACTGATTCTTAGTAGAGGAACTACTACTTAAACAAATTCTTATCAAGAACATTTTTTTCTTTGAGAGTTTTCAGTTTCATATGTATATATATATATATATACATATAGATAGAGAGAGAGAGAGAGAGCGCGAGTGAGCGAGCGAGAGCAGGCTTAAAGATGTATTTATTGTGTGGACACTTAGTTTTAGACAAGGTGCAGGAAATTTCTACCAACATCTACTTCAGGAAGCAGACACTTGCCTAGGGTAGTGCTGTTTGAAATGGACCAAGGTTGGAACAAAGTTTTTTCTTACCTGCCTTGGGCACTAGACTAATAAAATGGTCACCCAGTGGGAAAAAAGGTTTTCTCATTCCTCCTTCCATACCATTCTTACCCCTGTAGATAGCTCCTTAGGTTTTCTTCTTCCTCCTCTCTGGATAATCCACTCCTGCAGTTCCTTTGGAATTATAGCATGGGCGAAAATGAAATAGCTTTTTACATAAGTGAAAATAAAAAGAATTTTAGGTGCCAGGTCTTTTACCCTATAGTAGTTAAAGGAGAAGGATCCCTGGCCATGGCAGCTTGAAACACATGCTGGGCATGGGTGCATTTGTGCCTAATACCTTAACAGGATCGAGGGTTGAGGAAAAGGGGTTGTGGTAGGACCATGCTCTCCATAAGGGCAGATGCTTTCTCCCTCTGTGTTTCTCTCTCTGGGGAGTATACATACTTTAAAAAAAAGAGAGACCATTTTTAACTGATATGAGTAAGTTTAGTACCTTTGTTACTATAGAAAGGTTTGGGTTCTCAATTTACATCTAATTAAAAATATTATAGAATAGAAATAATACTTTCTTGGGCCAGCAGGTGGCATGGAGGTTAAGGCACTGGATCCCACATGGCTGACCATGTGGTTTTTGCAGTATATTTTTACATTCTAAGATGTGAATTAATAGAAAAATGAACAGTTAATAGAGTTAGAGAAAGAGAGAAAATATTGAGTAATACATACTGAACCTATATCTGAAGAATTTGATCTTACTGTTTCATTGATATGTTAAGTACCAATTTTCAGTGCATTCAGTACTAACTCTACCTTTTTTCTTTCCCTTTTCCTTTTGCTTAAAACATTATCCGAACAGTTAACAAGTACCAGGCATATTCTATCTTTATGACAAATATTGTCTAGTTGAATGAGTGAAGGAATAAATAAAGAGTAAATAAATGAAAAATTTTAAGCTTTTACAAAACAAATATACATACACTTTTTTATTGAGATTTGAGAACAAAGTAGTCTTGTAATAATTTAGGTAATGTAGAAGAAAAGATTGATTTGTTTTGAAAGTTGAACATTGGATTTTTCAAAAGTCAAAACCTATACCATCTGAAATACAAATGAAGATAAAATGAAGATAACTTGACATTGTAATGAACTCATATTAGGAGATACATATTTTTAAATGGGGAAGCAAGTGGTTGCTGGGTTCTGAAGATTTTTTAAAAGAGTTTATTCTCATCTCAATCCACTTCATCTTAAATTTTGTCTTGTAGAAACTGTCTCAAAATGCTATTTAAAATGAATTAATTTTAATTTCTAAATTATAATACAGTCTAATTTAGTGAAATTGAATCAGTTTTACTGGATATCATCTACTGGCTATAATGCCATGTGTCTAGAAAATATTTTCTCTACATTTTGAAATATGATTAATATCGTCCATTGGTTTCTGTGTTTGAATATTTGTTATGGCTTATGGTAAAGAGTGTGGACTGCTGTGTTAGACAGGACTGAATTTCAGACTCCAATCTGCTACCTTCTAGCCAGTTGTTTTTTTTCAGCTTCTCAAACCTTAGTAGCATCTTACATAAAATGAGGTGATATCTGCTACTATAGAAGTTGTTGGGGAGATAACTATTATGTAAAGTACTTAGGACAGTATCTGGGATATGGTATAATATAATCAGTAATTGGGAGACTTTTTTTTTTCCCATTGTGTTTTGTTTTTGTTTTTGTTTTGCAGCTTTCCCTATAAATAAAACAGATAAAGATTCAAGACATGTAATAAAAGTGGTAAGTATTGCTTTTAATTTTTTACTTTAAGTATATTGAATTTTTTACTACTTTATTTTTGTATAAATTTTTCTCACTTTATTTTTTTCATTTGCTAATGAGTGTGTGCACTCCCCTGAAAGAGACAGCTGTAAGGAAAGTGAGAAAGCACCCTGATGGGGGATGGTCACACTACAGTCACTTCTCCCCCATCGCTTACTTTGGGTCTTTGCACACACCCACACATATCTGATGTGATCCTGAAGCCACCGGGTCTGGGACTTGAAATGTGCAATCAGTCACGTGAGATCCAGTTGCCCCAACCACCACCCAACTGGCTGACCTCTTGCCTTAATTTTTTTTTTTTTTTGGGGTTGTTGTTGGGGGGTTTTTGCCATAGGGGGCGTATGCTCGCCAGACAGAGAGAGAGAGACAGAAAGTGAGAAATCCCCCCCGGGGGGATGGCCATGCCGCAATCCCTTCTCCTCCATTCTCCTCTCGGGATCTTGGGCACACATGCACAGGAACTCAGCATGAGTTTTAAGCCACCGGGTCTGGGACGCGAACCGTGGTCGACTACATAGCCAGCGACATATCCATTACGCTAACTGCTGGTCCCTTCGCCTTAATTTTTATAAGTATTTATTTATCAATAAACTTGATGTTATATTTTCGTATTATTTAAATGCTGAGACTGAAGAACTTTTGTTCTTCTGTATTGCCATCTCTCATCCTGGTATCTTATCTAGGTGTTTATTTTCTCCTCTCCCTGTCTATATCATCCTACCTCTCTATTCTAGATGATTAGGTTCTTAAAGGCAAGCATAGAGTTTGGTTTGGTTTTTGTTTTTTTGTCTATATTCCCTGCACCTAGTACAATGAATGAAATGTAGTAGAAACTCAGTAAAGGTACCATGAATGAATGTATTGCCAGAATAATTTGTGGTATATCCAACCTGATATACATGCTGGTATATAGTGAGTGTCTGTATGTTTATGTATACTGTTTTCAGTGTTTCTCATATTTCTTCCCATGAGAAAACTACTTTCATGCATAAGACTGTAGGGATAGTAGTACAATATGTTGTTTAAAAATGAGATTCTTTTTTTTTTTTGGAGAGATTTTCACTATAGGGCGCGTGCGCTCGCCAGACAGACAGAGAGAGACATAGAGACAGAAAGCGAGAAATCACCCCCCAGGGGGGATGGTCACGCCGCAATCCCTTCTCCTCCATTCTCCTCTCGGGATCTTGGGCACGCACGCACACGCGCCCGGCGTGAGTTTTAAGCCACCGGGTCCGGAACACGAACCGCGGTCGACTACGTGGGAGTCCAGCGACATAGCCATTACACTAACTGCTGGTTCCCTAAAAATGAGATTCTTCAAGTTTATTTAGTGCTTTCTGAGAATTTTAGCTGCAATCTTGTGTCTATGCTTTATGAAAAATATAATTCGAGTACTATTATGTATTATATATGTGTGCTCATATTTTCACAGTTGAAATACCAGTTCTATCTTTGGGATTATTTTTTTCCTAGTAAAATTAATTATTCTCTTCTTTCATAGGAATATCAAGAAAATGGCCCGTTATTTTCAGAACTTAAATTTTATCAGAGAGCTGCAAAAAAAGACTATAGTAAGTAAAATTAGCAAAGTAGGCTAGTTCCATATATGTGCTCGCTAAAATGAATGTTGATATTTTTTTTTCTGGCCTTCTGGAAAATTCTAATCAGAAATTTTATTGTGAAGTGATATAGTTAACTGTTGTAACATATAAGACAGATGGTATACAACTCTTGATAAGGCATACATAATCAGTTATATATTTTAAGTCAAAGTCATTTTTACTTCTTTACATAAAATGTTGGGTTGTTGATCTAAGCTACCAAGAGTTCTCTCAAATGTGAAAGATGACAGAATGAAATTATTTCTTTTATAAAGAACTATGAGGATTAGAAGGATCTATGGAGAAGCCATTATATGAGCAATAGATACATAAATAAAAGGAATGATTATTATATAGATTAAGGTAAGATACATTGAATGAGACCAGCAGTTGGCGAAACTGGCTATGTCACTGGACTCCCATGTAGTCTACCGTGGTTCGAGTCCCATACCCGGTGGGTTAAAACTCACGCCAGGCACGTGTGTGTGCGTGCCCAAGATCCCAAGAGGAGAATGGAGAAGAAGGGATTGCGGCGTGGCCATCCCCCCTGGGGGGTGATTTCTCACTTTCTGACTCTCTGTCTGTCTCTGTCTGTCTGGCAAGCGCACACGCCCTATAAGTGGAAACCTCTCCAAAAAAAAAAAAGGAAACTGTTAATATGTTAAAGTAGATGTTAGAAACTTACATCTTGGGAAATTAATTGGAACTGCATATCAGATATAAGAACTACCAGTTTAAAAGTTTGAATGTGGGCCAGCCATGATGGTGCAGCAGAAACATAACACTCCCTGTGGCCAAAGCCACATGGGAAGTTACTAGGTTTGAGTCCTAAAGTCTCTTTGGCTGGGGGTGCATCTGCATGTCCCTATGTTCCTGACTGACTGATGCTGGGATTGAATGGTGGTGCGAAGACTCTGTTGGATATTCTTGTCTGTCTGTCCATTTTTCTCTCTCACAGACAAATAAACTTTAGAGAAAAGGATTTAGATGAGCAGAGATGCAGAAGAAGATAAGCATTTTGTAAATACAATATGACAGGCTAAGTAAAATGTTAAGAAAGGTGATAGGAGTATGACTAGTGTAGTCAAGGTCCTGTATATCCCATTTAGGAAAAAGCGATGGGTCTGACCTCAGTAGTTAACTTTGTTTTTCTTAATAAAGCCTTTTAAATATTAGTTTGCATCTTTACTAACTGCTTAAACTATAAGCTTTATGGTATTCTAAGAAGTGATTTTAGATTGACAAATAATTTATTAACTTTTTTATCAGTAGAGCTATCTTAGCCATTAAACTTATATGATGAAAAATGAAAAAAATTAGTTGCCTGATTATTTAGGTAGGTTTGATATTTTGTAAATAATTTTAATGGGAACAATTTCCATATAATGTAATTTCAGATTAAGATGATTTTTCTGTCCAATTGTTATTTTTTCATGGCTTTAGATTTTGAAGTAATAAGGGGAAAAAAAAAACAACCTATCCCTCTTCTGATCCTTTGGTAGTTAACAAATGTTATATTTGGCTAGCATATATATAATACATTTCTATGAGACTTCAGCTTATGTTTTTGGTATTTAGTTTTAAAATTTGTATTTTTGATTATTTATTGTGATAACAAGTAGAGTTTGAAACCACTAGATAGATTTGATTTCTTAAATTTTATATCCTAGGAATATCTGGTTAATATTTCAGTAGGCTGAATAAATCTTAACATTTATACAAAAGTAAGAAATGCCTTTCTAAATAATGTCTTTTTGTTAAATTATTTTTTCAGTCAAAAAGTGGATAGAACTCAAACAACTTGATTATTTAGGAATTCCTCTATTTTATGGGTCTGGTCTGACTGAATACAAGGGAAGAAGGTAAAGTAAAATTATTATAATCAGATGCTCCTCTGTAACTGTTTTTTGTGTTGGTCTGTTATCAATTGCTATGTAATAAATTACCCAAAACATAGTAGCTTATAGTAACAGACTTAGAATATCTTGGTCTTATGAATCAGGAATTTGAAAGTGGCTTTCTAATGCTTCTAGTTCAGGATCTCTCATAAAGTTGTAGTTAGCTGGTTGCTGGGTTGCAATCATCTGAAAGTTCAACTGGAGAAGGATCTACTTTCAAGGTCACTTGTGTGTTTGTTAGCAGGACTGACTGACTTCTGGCCATATGAGTCTCTGCATAAGCTTCCTGAGTGTTAGAAGTTATATTCCATCACTTCTGCTGTATTATTTTTAATGGAAGTTAATCGCTAGGTCCACTCCATACTCAAGAAAGGAGAATTAAGCTTCATCTCTCAAAGGAAAGGCACAACAAAGAATTAATGAAAATATCTTTTAAACCATCAAATATGGTTAGTCATTACATATAAGTGATAATGACTTTTAAAAAGGAAACAAAACTTTGTCTATTGTTAGTACCCATTTTTGTCCTTTGAAAAGCCTTTTAATATGGATAGTATTATTTTTATTTCATAGATGATAAAATAGACTCAGGCATCATTACTTTGTTCAAATAGATGTTAAATACTATAAATAAAAAGATGAGCAAACAATTCTTGAAATAAAGGGCTACCAGTAGGGTACTAAATTATTGAGTAAATCATGGTATATGTTGATAATCCCTAATCTGAAAGTCAAAAATCCAGAGTACTCCAAAAATTTAAAACTTTCTGAGTGCATGATATTGTAAGAGAAAATTCTATACCTGACCTCATATGCTGTATGCAGTACAAGTGCTATAATATAAATATATTGTGTGAAATTACTTTCAGGCTATGCGTGGTAGGTGTATGTGAAACATATGTGAATTTCATGTTTAGGCTTGGATCTCCACTCCAGGATATCTCATTATGTATATACAAATATTCCACAGTCTGAAACACTTTTGGTCTCAAGCATTTCGGATAAGGAATACTAAACCTATGTATTCATAACATGTAATTTACAGCTCATTATGTAAATCTGTTAGAACTATACCAGTTAACTTGGAAAGATTCAACGAACTACTATTGAAAAATTAAGGTGGAAAAATGTATATGATAAGATCACATTTTTGTAGAAAAAAAATGAAAATTTTGTTTGTATGTATATATAGATAGATTATAGAATGGGAGCTGATGTGGGTATGTAATAAATGGAGGGAAGGAAAGAAAAGGTAGAGGGTGCTAAACAGAAACAAAAATACACTTAAAAAAGACATGTTAGGCCAGCCTGTGGTGTGGTAGTTAAGACAGCTTGATCCCACATGGCCAACTGCGTGGTTTCAGTCCTGGGCCCTGTAGCTTGAAAAATTATGATGGACGCATGTACATGCATGCCCAAAATCCCAAAAGGGAGGAGCAATATAGGAGAAGGGATTGTGGTGTGACCTTTCCTCATGGGGGGTGCTTTCTCATTTTCCTTCTCTCTCTCTTCCCCCAGCTAGCACATACGCCTTTGGCAAAATTTAAGAGAGACATATTTATAAATGTATAGAAAAAAGTAAAAATGATTTTGTAAGGTCAAGAAACAAATTTAAATAAAACTTTCTGTGTGAACATGTAATTTATTCAAGGCCGTATGATGGGAAGGTGATGGATTCTAAATTATTAAATTTAGGACTAAAGTTTTTTTAATTGCCAGAGGGCATATGCATTTGCCAGAGAGAGACAGAGAAAGAGAGAGAGAAGGCAGCTCCCAGTGAGATGTAGTTATGCTGCAATCCCCTCTTCATTTGTCTGCTCTATTGGAGTTTTGGGAATGCATGCACATGCCCCCAGTGTTTTTCAAGCTGACAGGACCAAGATTCAAAAGGCAGTTGGCCATGTGGGACTTATCTCCCTTAATATAAGGCCTGCCCATTACTGTCTAACTTGAAAAGACTGATGTTGTTGTTGTTTTGGTGATCTAAAACTGTAAGAATGGTTCACTACATCATTTTCTTCTACTAGAAAACTTAACTGCAAGTAGATATTGATTAGCATCTTTTTGCAAAACAACAGAATTATTAATGTGCATTCATACATTCATTGTCAGATTGCATCATACATGGTTGGTTGGTTGGGGATATCATTACTTATTTCAAATTCTTTAATAGACAGTTTCAAATACTACTACCTCAAGAACTCTCTTTTTCCTTTTTTTTGTAGAGGTTCTTACATTAGGGCATGTGTGCTCACTAGGAAGAGAGACAGAGGGAAAGTGAGAAATCACCCCTTCCCCATGGGGGATGGCCATGTCATAATCCCTTCTCCTCCTGGGATCTTGGACAACATGAGCATACACCTGGCATAAGTTTCAAACCACCAGATCTGGGACTCAAACTGTGGTTGGCCATGAGGGACGACATAACCACTACGTCATCTGCTGGCCCCAAGAGCTCTCTTTTTAGTATCTTTTTTTTTTTTTTTTATAGTTACAGATTTATGGTAATGGAAAGACTAGGAATGGATTTGCAGAAGATCTCAGACAAGAATGGTACTTTTAAAAAGTCAACAGTCCTGCAGCTAGGTATCCGAATGGTAAGACTGACTGACTTACTTCATATGCTCCAATTTTAGATTATTTACTCATTACAATTTACAAATCTTTTGCCCTTTATAGACTTATAAAAGTATGAAGGCTTATTGCCCTAGAAATGTCAGTTATTGAAACTGAAGCTATTTTGAGGAAAATGGTAACAGGGGGCTGTGTAAGTGACAATGTGCTGTGTTTGGCACTGCAAACTCAAATAGGCATTGGTCCTATAGCCTGATAATTTTTCTCCACACAGCTTTTGTTTTACATATCAGAACAAACTTGTATCGCTATGAGAATAACCACTTTTTTGTCAGTTATATTTATAACAATGCAGATTATGGAAAAATGTATTATTTTCACTACTAAATATGTCATGGTATGGGGATGCCATAAAGTTTTTATTATGAGTTTGGGATGCTGGCAATAATTAGTTGTGGCAATGAATAATATATACTTTGCCAAATAAAAATAAAATCTTAATAGCATCCATACACACAGTTGTTTATACTGCATATTTGTCTTACCTTGTTTGTGTTTGGCTTATTTAAGTTTCATTTTTCCCATTTTAAGTAAAATGAAACCTCTCATATAGGTTGGGATATGGCAAATAGAACTCACTAATTTTTTTAGTCATCACTCATTCATCCACCCAGCTAGTAAATGTTCAGTGAACACTGGGAATATATAACATGCAAGACTGAAAAGCTTTAAAGATGAAGCTGGGTATTTTCTATTATTATGCAAGAAAGATTGACTTTCTCTGGGATCCTGGGCATGGTATTTTGTTCTGACTTGATTCCCCAAGACTTGATTCATAATTACTTCTTGGGTAAAGAACACTGGGTGGGCTTTATAATTATTCCACTCTAGATCTCTGATTTTATGCTGTGATCTTCTTGGCCTAGAGTGTTTTGGCTACTGGACTAGAATAAGCATAGGCATAAGCATTTGTTCAGTCCTGGGTTCCTTACATCAGAGGTTCAATGAAAACACTTGCTCTTTGAGGATAATTTTGTTCAACCTTTTTTCAGGGGTGACCAACCAGAAGATGTGATATTTTAGAGTAATTGTATTGAGAAAATATATATATATAATTGTGAAATATATATATATAATTGTAATTATAATTATGAAACACATTCTATGCTATTCTATATTCAAATTATTCAGGTTGTTCATGGGTTCTTAACAGTCAGCAGTATAACCTTTTGTTTATTTCTTTTCACAGTTGGATGTACTAGAATATATACATGAAAATGAATATGTTCATGGTGATATAAAAGCAGCAAATCTACTTTTGGGTTATGAGAACCCAGATCGGGTAAATATAGTGTTAAGCTTTTGCTTTCAATAAGGGTCCTCAAAGTACCATATTAAAATATTCTAAAACCTAACTACTAGTCCAGAAGAGTTTACAAATGAGGGCATAACATGATAATTGTAATTTGTCTTACCTTGCTTGTCTAATTTAATCCTTACACCAAACTAATGAATAATTAGGATGAGGAGACTCAGAGTCAGAGGGGTTAAATAATTTGGTAATGGGCACATAGTTAAGGAGTGGCCAAGCAGGAATTGAATTTCTGAGCAAATACAGATAATCAAAGAACTATCAAAATCCAGTGAATAGGGATGGATTTATGCAGAGGGGGGAAAAAAAAAAAAGCTGTCATATTAGTTTTTCTTCCACTCTAAAACAAATTAAGTTTTAAAGTAAGAAACATTTCCATTAGAACTTTCTGTGATAATTTAAATATGTTTGATTTTCCATTGTGATAGTCATTAACACGTGGCTGTTAAGTTTTTGAAATTTTGCTAGTAAAATACCAATTGCTAGCAAGTATGTAGACCAACAGGAACTCTCATTCATGCTGGTGGGAATGCAGAGTGGTACAGCCATGCCGTAAGATCGTTTGACAATTTCTTAGCAAGCTGAAATACTCATAACATTCAACAATTGTACTCCTTGCTATTTACCTAAATGAGTTGAAAGCTCCACCCAAAAACCTGCACATGATCTTACAGTAGTTTTATTTATATTTGTCCAAACTTGGAAGCAGCCAAGGTGTCCTTCAGTACAGTAAATAAACTGTAATGCATAAAGACAAAGGAATATTATTCAGTGCTAAAAGGAAATGAACTATAAAGCTATGAAAAGAGAGAGGAGTCTTAAATGCATATTACTATGTGAAAGAACCAATCTGAAAAGGCTACATATTATATAATTCTAACTATATTACGTTCCAGAAAAGGTGAAACTATTAATATGAAGACAGTAAAAAAATCATTGGGTGCCTGGTTTAGAAGAAGGGAGGGAAACAGGAATAAATGGGCAAGTGCAGAAGATTTTGAGGGCAGCGAAACTATCCCGTACACCACAGTGATGGAAACACATCATTAAACATTTGCTACGACCCACAGAATGTACACCAAGAATGAACCTTAGGCTCCACCCCGTGGCATAGCAGTTAATATACCAAACTGCTGAACTAGAAGCCACATGCTGACAGCACTTCAAATCCCCAGCCAGCTTGAAATCAAGCATGATTATACATGATTATACATGCCCAGAATTCTGGCCACGACTGGAAGACTAGAGGAAAAGAATTGCAGTGACTGAGTCCTGTGGAGGCTGCTTTTTTCTGCCCCGCTCCCTGCCCCTCTCTCCCTCTCTTTCTCTCATTCTCTCCACTCTTCCCCCCACCCTGAAAAGAAAACCTTAGTGTAAACTGTGGACCTTCAGTGATAATACTGTGTATTGATATATTGGTTTATCTGGGACAAATGTACCACTCTGGAGAGAGGTGTTAGTGCGGGGGAGGCTGTGTGTCATGGGAACTCACTGCACTTTCCACTTGATTTTACTCAGATTGCTTTGGATCTGCCTAAATTGAACCTAAAACTTCTCTAAAATGTATTCTATTTGAAACTGTGGCTAATGTGACTGAGTAACTGAATTTTTAATTGAACTTTGATTTTAATTTACTGAAAAAGCTACACTTAGCTGGTAGCTATTTTATCAGCATAGGTTTCAAGAGTTAAAAACATATCGGGACCAGCAGTTAGCGTAATGGCTATGTCGCTGGACTCCCATGTAGTCGACCGCGGTTTGCATCTCAGACCCAGTGGCTTAAAATTCACGCCAGGCATGTGTGCATGCGTGCTAAGATCCCCAGAGGAGAAGGGATTGCAGTGTGGCCATCCCCCCGGGGGGTAATTTCTCACTTTCTGTCTCTCTGTCTGTCTGTCTGGCGAGCGCACGTGCCTTATAGCAAAAACCTCTTAAAATATTAAAAATTAGAAAAATATAGTTAAACGTTTAATAATCTCTACATGAATAAATTTCTAAATAAAAATATTGGAGAAAAACTTTCAACCTACAATACTGATATAAAAATGTAAGATACCTATGTATTTTTAAAAAATGAAAAAATAAAAAGCAAATGAAACTGGGAAATATACATATGACAAATATTCGAGGAGTTCTAGTAAACACTAAAAAAAAAAGAAAAAAAAAGAAAATTAACAAATAATCACCACATGATTTCTTAAAGCAGTGTGCAAAAGGAGTGAACAGACAGAACAAAGAAGGAAAATACAACTATCTTAGAAAAATGAAAAAAATTCACCTTCACTAAACCCTAAAAGATATGGAGATCAAAACAGTGAAGTACCATTTTAAAAGACTTATCAAATTGGAGAAGTCTAAAATAATAATCTGATAGTATCGATGCTGGTGAGGGTGCAGGCACTTGTAGAATGCCAGTGGGAATGTAAATTAAATGGGAGTAGGAGAATAAATTAAGATGATGGAAAGGACAATTTGACAGTATATATTAAAAGCCTTCAAAAGTCTGCATACTTTTTACGGTTAGTCTTATTGAAACATAACTTACCAAAAAGGTAAACAGTCACCCTTTTAAATATACAGAGTGAATGTATTTTCCAACCACCACCACCACCAAAATGTGGAACATTTCTTTCATCTCCAAAGTTCTCTCATTCCTCTTTGCAGTCAGCTTCCTCCTTTTTGTCCCCACCTCTGGCAATGATCTCTACCCTTATATTTTTACATTTTAAGGAATGTTATATAAATAGAATCACAGGTTGAGCATTCCTAATCCAAAAATCTGAAATGTTCCAAAGTCTAGAACCTTTGAGTGCTATCATGACAACACAAGTAAAAAAATCTCACACCTAACCTCATGTGACATGTCACAGAATACTGCAATACAAAAATACTGAAATTACCTTAAGGCCGTGTATATAAGGTATATATAAAATATAAGTGAATTCCATGTTTAAACTTGAGTTCCATCTCCAGAATATCTCATTTTATTTATATATGTATATTTTCTGATAATATTGAGGCTAGTGAGGGTGCAGGCACTTGTAGAATCCCAGTGGGGATGTAAATTAAATGGATGTAAGAGAATAAATTAAGATAATGGAGAAAACAATTTGGCAGTATATATCAAAAGCCTTTAAAAGTCTGTGTATTTTTGGGACCAGCAGATGGTGTAATGGTTACGTCACTGGACTCCCACATAGTCGACCATGGTTCAAGTCCTGGACCCCGTGGTTTGAAAATCTTGCCTGGTGCCTGTGCCTGCATGTCCAAAATCTCGAAAGGAGAATGGAGGAGAAGGGATTGTGGCATAGCCATTTCCCCCGGGGAATGAATTCTTACTTTCTGTCTTTGTGTCTCTAGTGAGCACAAGTGCCCTATAGCAAAAATCTTTGCTCCTCAAAACATCTGCATACTTTTTTAAGGTTAGTTTTATTGAGTCATAATTTACAAAAAAGTAAAAATTCACATGTATAGTATACTCCTTTGTGTATGTACTTAGCATAATGCTCTTGATTAGTAATTCTTTAGCAGTTCATTCCTTTTGTTACTGGGTAGTATTTCATTGAGAACTATCTGTTGATGGCTATTTGGATTATTTCCAGTCTTTGACAATTTTAAGTAAAGTTGTAAATTAAGTGTTCATATAAGGATTTATTGATAGTCCTATGTTTTAAGTCCTGTGTTTTAAGCTACTGAGGAAATAACCAGAAGTGTAATTTCTGGGTCAGATGGAAGTATAGTTCCAAACTTTTCTGGAGTGATTGTACTGTTATTCATTCTCATCAGAAGTGTGTGCTTATTCCATTTGCTTCACATACTAACTTCATTATTCTTTTAATTTTAGCCTTTGTAACATATATGTAGTCCTGTCTAATAATTTAACTTGATGTCAGTCATCTCTAATGACTAATTATATTGAGCAAATTTCATGTGCTTACTTGCTACTCATATATATTCATTGGCAAATGTGCTCATCTTTAAGTTATTTCCATTCTTCTTAGGTTATAAGATCTTCATATTTTGAAGATTAGAGGCCTGTCCTGTTGGATCTGTGACTTACTTTTTTTTATCCTTTAAGAAGACGACGATTTTAACTATTGTGAAATCTAGTTTATGATTTTTTTTCCTTTTATAATTTGTGCTTCTTATGTCTTTAGCCAGGGTCACAAATACCTTCTCTTGTGGTTTCTTCAAAAAGTTTTGTGAAATCCTTAGATTTAGGGTCCTGATGCATTTCAAGTTAATTTTCGTATTGGGTATAGGTTAAGAGTCGAGATTCTATTTCTTTTTTTTTTTGTTCTTTTTCTTTTTTCTTTTTCCTGGCATACAAATGTACAGTTGTTTCAGCACCATTTGTCTAAATGAATATCCTTTTGAATTGCCTTGGCACTTTTGTCAAAAATTTGTTGAACATATATCTATAGTCTATTTCTGGATTCCTTCCTCAAATACTGTAAAGCCAACATCACACTGTCTTGATTAGTTTAACTTTATATTCTTGAAATTAGGCAGTGCGAGTCTTCCAACTTTGTTCGTTTTTACAAAATTGTTTTACCTGTTTTTGCTGCTTTTAATTCAATATGTAATATTTATAATTTGTTTGTGAATTTCTACCAAAAACCCTACTAGGATTTTGATTGGGATTTCAGAAATCTATAGATACATTTGAGGGAATTGATGTCTTAAGAGTCTTCTGACTAGATGCCAAGCTAAATCACAGGAGAAAGGATAATCTTTTTAAATCTCATTTTTATTTCCTTTCTTAAAATTTAATTGCCAGAGGTTATAAGTGCTCACTAGAGAGAGAGACAGGGGAAGGGAGAAAGCATCCCCTTTCCAGTGGGAGGTGATCACATTGCAGTTCTTTTTCCTCCATTCCTCTACCCTGTCTGATTTTGGGGTATATGTGCACACACTCCCAGCACATCTTGCAAGCTCCCAGGGCTGGAATACAAACTAGGGTAAGCCAT